TGCGGTCTTGTTGTTGGGCCCGTCCCGACTACTCTCTGCCTGCACGGCCTCTCTGTGGGCCCTGGTCCCCACCCCCCCACCTCACCCCCACCTTGATCAGGTGTCCGAGCCGTGTGTCCCGCTGCCGCATCAGGTCGGCGAAGGCCGCCTCCGTGTCGCGACTCCACTGCCCCCGCACGCGGGCGCCCATGGAGCCCACCCCCAGGACCTGGAGCAACAGAGGGGGAGGGGCCGCGAGGTCAGGAAGGGGCGCGGGAAGGGGGGGGGGGGAGACCAGCCGGGGGGCTGGAGGGGGAAATGGCCTTGAAAGTAGTTCAAGGCCAACCCCAGTCCAGAACGAAAGACGAACAGCGGTGGCGTCTGAGGGTGCGCAAAAGAGAGAGAGAGAGAGAGAGAGAGAGGAAGGAAGGGTAGGAACAGCAGCACCTGTCCCCGACAAACCCCACCTGGGCCATGTCCCCAAGCTCCTGATCCGCTTGGCGAAGAGCCGCGTCCATAACCACATGCCTGCGGGCCATGTCGGGGGCCGCCGCCAGCTGCCGCCGGACCCCCCCACCCAGCAGTCCACCGTCCGCCGGGAACAATATCACTTTCTCCTGCTCCTGCTCCCGGGCTTCTTGCTGCTTGTGCTGCTTCTGTGTCTCCCGGTGGTGGGGCTGCCGCAGTGCTTGCTTCCGATCCTGCTGCTGTCGTCGTTGTTCTTGTCCTTGTTGCTCTTTCTGCTCCTGCTGCTTCTCTGCCTCAACCCCCACATGTTGCTCCTGCTGCTGCTGGCTCGGGTGTTGCTGTCCGTCTTGTTCATCTTGTCGCTCCGTGTCGATTACTGGTCTCTTCCCTGAACTCCGACCTGGGCTCGCCTCCCGATCCGAATCCGGAGGTGCCGCCCCCACTTCAGCCGTATCACCCTGCATTCGCATCTGCGCTCCCTGCGCATGATCTTGTACCGGTACCTGCTGACGTGGCTGCGCCTGGGGCCCCCCGCCGGGGCCCTGAACCCCATGACCGCATGACGGGTCCTCCGCACACCCTTCGCCTCGCGGCACTGGGGGGCCCAGCCCGGGTGAGGCCCCACCCGCTCGCTCGTCCATCTGCTCGTCCGATGGCTCGCCACTGCCGCCCTGCTCGTCCAATTTCGGCTCGTCCACCTCCATCTTGACGACACGTTGCTGCGAACGTCGCTGTCTGGATGACGGCGCCGCAGGTCTCGATTTGCCCGTGGCGGCGGCGGCGGCGGTGGCGGGCCGACCAGCTGTCGTTGTCGCCGCCGCCTCGCCTGGCGTCCCGGCCGTATAGCCCAGCGCGGCCCTTGCGGCTTGGACCGCCTCCGCTGCCTCGGCGGCGGTCCTGGCGGCTACGGCTGCGGCCGCGGCGCTGAGCGGCTGTGCCGAGTGCAGCGGAACGCCCATGCGCGACAGCGCGGCGGGGCTCGGCGGCCGCCGCCGCAGCACCGCCGCCGCGGCCTCACTACCCCCCGGTGGCGGCGGCGGGACTTGGGCCTGCACGCACCACCATCACCACCACCACCACCACCACATAGGCACACACAGGCACATGAGCCGCCTCAGTCTTCCGCAGGCTAGTCACTTGCAGGTAACTGGCAACGCTCCCTTCCGGGGACTCGCCGACAACAAAGCGACTATTTCAGAGCGGGGCGGGGCGGGGCTCGGCGGCCTCGGCTTGGCGAATCGAGGTACCGGAACATCTCCCTTAGCGAAATATTTCCCCCTACAATTTCTTACGTATTACTCAAACAACAGCTGCAGCGGCTATGACAGATAGACAGACGGACCTGGTATTGGGAGCTCCAGTACAATCTTGGGGCCGTCAGGCGGCGGGAGAAGGCGAAGGAGGGGATCACCTGCGAACAGCCCGCTGTGCTCAGAGCACCGCCGCATGGGACGCCGCCGCCGCCGCCGCCGCATCCAGGGACATTGCTGCCCCGCCGGGCATTTGCGGCGGAGCCGCCGCTGCTGCCGCCGTCACCACTCGCGGCGCCTGCCGGCGCCGCCGCCAGCAGCCCGTACAGGTGCCGCTGCAGCGGCCTACGCCCGTCCACGGACCGAAACACGCCAATGTCGTTTTCATCGTCCGCTTCACCGCCCTCCTCGTCCCAAGCCTTCTCCTCATGCTCCTCTCCCTGCTTCACCACCTCCACCTCCTCCGCCACCTCCCCATCCGAAGCTTCCGTCCCAATGGCCGCCTGCTCCGCCATTTCCGCGTCGTATATCGCCTGGTAATACGCATCATCCATCTCCGCCATGGCGCCCTCCATGACCTGCTCCTGGGACACCTTGCGGGTCGCAACAGCCTCCGCGGCCACTGAAGCCATCGCCGCAGCGACACCGCAGGCCTCCGCATCTTCCGTCTTGATGTCCGGCTTGATCGCGATCGTCAGCCCCGCGACCTGCCCCTCCTGTTTGAGGTCATCTGCGTCGTTCGCGCCGCCGCACACCTTACCCGCCCCCGAAGGGGGGATCCCGTCTTCACCGGATGCCGCAGCCTTTGCAGCCACTTTCAAACCCAGATCGTCCAACTCGTCGCCTCCAGCTACAGTGGCGGCGCCGCCGTTCTCGCCGTCGCGGCGGCGGCGGCCCGGAAGGTACAGCGGCCGACCACGGGGTGGCGGCGCAGCCGCTGGCGGCACGTCCGGCGATAGCCGCAGCAGCGGCACTGGCGGCACGCAGGCGACACCCGGTACGGCAGGGTCGTTGGGTCGGCGCATGTTGGGCAACCGACCCACATGCGCCACGACTATGGCTCCTGGGTAGAACGTCATGATGTTGCTGCCTCGAAGAGGGTAGTACGTATACTGGTTCAGACCGCAGCCGAGACCAGCGAGGCTGATGCGGCCGTCAGCGGCGGCGGCGGAGGCCGCAGCCGCGGCCGCTGGCGTGATCCCTGCGACCACAGTGCCAGCGGGGGCGGGGCCAACGGCTTTGCCGACGGGAGCTGCTCCGCCGGCTTTACCCGCAGGAAGTGTTCCCGTGGCCTTGGTGGCACTCGGCGCCGCCGCCGCTGAGGCCGCAGCAGCCCCGGCGCCGCCAGCACCGCCGGCTCCGCAGCCAGCGGCGCTCCCTCCTTTGGCGCGGCTCGGTCTACCTGAGGCCAACCCGGGCACAGCGTTGTTGGACGCAACGGTGCCGCCGCCGCCGCCACTCCCCCCCCCGCCCCTAGTCTTCGACTTGGAGCCTCCTCCCGCGGCCCCTTGAGCGGAGGCCGGCACGACAGGCTTCAATGCGGTTGTACTACTGCCGCCTGCGACAACGGCTGCGGAGGCACCCCTACCGCCACCACTGCCGCCGCCATCGGTACCGACACCATATACCGTTGAAGGCTTGCGCGCGGAAGTGTTCCTGTTGTCGCGTTGCCGCCTGCTCCCATTACCATTACCAGCTGCAGGGGCTACTGCCGTCGTTGGGCCGTCCGTGTCTGCCCCCGCCGCTGGAGCCGAGGCGCCATTTTCAAGAATTGATACCGCGGCATCTGTAGCCGCAACGAGGCCTGTCGCCGTCGCCGCCGCCGCCGTCGCGGCAGCGTCGGATTTCCGAGTTACCGGTCGCTTGCCTGAGGCCAGGGTGCTCGACACGGCGGCCGCGGCGGCTAGCGCCGCCACGCGTGGCGCCGGCGGTGCCGCAAAAGCGGCCGTGGCCGCAGCAATCACCTCTGCCGGCACCTGCGCCGCCAACGCTGCCGTCGGCAGCGCCTGCCGCACGGCAGCTGCGGCCGCAAGCATCGCTGGCGGCGGCGTTGACGCCGCCCGTGACGCCTGTCGTGATCGGCCGCTGGGCACGTCGTACATGCTGCTCTCAAGGAGCCCCTTGAGCTCCTTCATCATGGCACCATTAGACGAGCCCGTACGGCGCCGCTTGGACGGGCGCGGCGCGTCCTCCTTCCCAGCGGCTGTTTCCCCCAGGGGGCCCCCAGCTCCTTCACCGCTTCCGGCTGCGATGGTTGCTGTCGCAGGAGGTGCAGCGGCGGCAACGGTTGCGGTTGTTGCGGTAGTTGCATTGGAATCATCCGGCGCCTTGTGCGCATGCGCGAGCACCGGCATGGACGCGGTTGCAGCGTCTCCAGCCTCGTTAATGGCCCCGGCCTCCGCCGCCGTGGTTGCCGCGGGTCGTAAGGGCCGGTCTGAAGGGGAGATATCCATGGGATCTGCTGAAGGCGTGCCGCCGGCGGGTGGCGCAGCGCCGTCCATGTCTTCGGCGCCATCAGCTGCTCCTGCTGCCACGGCGCCGCCTTCGAGATGCCCCGCAGGCTGCTGTGGCGAGCTATCGCGTGCATTGCCGTGCCCGGAAGACCGACAGTTTGCTGCAAGAGTAATATCAGCTTGATCCCTGGGAGGTGAAGGCAGCTCCGGAACCGCAGCCAGCCCTGCGCCCGAGGAGCTTGCTTCGGCTGCGGGTGCATCACCTTCGCCTGGCTGCTGGTCGGTCCGAGCAGGGGTCCGGTAGTACTGCTGCGCGCAGCCGGCCGAGTATGTTGTTGGTGCTGCAAGAGCAGCTTGTGAAGACAGGCCCTTCGCAACTGGCAAGCAGGCGCATGGCGCAGGGGAGGCTGTGGGAACGTGCTCCGCGTTAGCGCGCTGCGAGGGTGCGTCTGCGCGCGCAGCATCGAGAGAAGTCGGTACATCAGCGATTCTGGCCCACTCCATGGTCTTCTTTGACGGTATAAGGGGCCTGAAGGTGCTAGGCGGCGCGCAAAGTGGTCGCAATGGGGGTCACCCTCGATGTCAGGGCCCCCCAGCTCAGCTCCAAGGTGAGCGCGGCAAGCTTGGCATGGAGCTAGGATGCAATCTTTCACAGTTTTGATGACTTTGCCACCGTGTTTGACTGCAGAGCAGCGAAATTTTGGGGCTGTTGTCGCCCGAACGGTCGAGGATTGTGGGGTTGAGACAACAATTGTACTATTTTGCTAGGGCGTTAGGCAGAGAGGGAAAGAGTCCGAGGGTTGGACTATCAAAACGGGTTTGAGGGATGTGAACACGTAAAATGCGGCCCGTCTTGTCGTAACTGCATGGGGGACTCAGAACGCGGGAGGCAGCCATGGTTTGAGCCCCCGGCCGCATACTTTGCGAACTTGTGAACAACCCATCGCTATTGTACTTTGCTATGTGTTGTTATACCAACTCGGTGTTCCACTTTCCCAACCGTTTACTTGCCCATCCACCCTGCTTGCGCAGCAAGCCTTCATATGCAGCACCCAGCTGGCTTACTCGTGAGAGGGTTCTTCAAGCCTGCAAATGCGCTCTAAGCCCCGCTGTTGTTTACATCGAGGGTTCCTCAGCATGGCTGTGTCAGGTAGCAACCAGCTTAGCATTTCCAGTTATCGATATTTCGTTAACCCTACGTACCCAAAAGATGTCAGCTTTTACATTGAGCTTGTCTGTAACTGGCCTGTACTAGTTCACCTCCCGGGCCTAATTTACCACCGCCCGGTTGCCGCTTGCTTGTCTGCAAGTGAACGCCTGTGAAAGCCTTCAAGTGATGCGAGGACGTGAGCTACTCTCCATGGTGGCCGGGCGTCAGATCCTCGGTCTATACGATGTCAAACCCGCACGAAGCTGATGTTCCCATAGCAACAACGCAGTTCTACTCTCGCGAATACAAATAAATCATGAAGCTAATCGCACGAGGGCGACCTGCTTAATTTTAAATTGGGTCGTGTGCCTGGCAGCTGACAGGATTTGACGCTGACCGGCGAAGGAATTGCTTTATATCGTAACGTTATCAGGAATGTGCATTTAAGGTGGGGAAAAGCTTGTCTCGCCTCACTAGCATTTGAAATCCGATACGACGGCACGGAGTGTCGCAGCTATCTGCTGCTATTGCCGAGGGGAATCTCACGTGCGGCTGAGATCTCCCCGCCATAACCAGTTTTTGGCGGTGTGCCGAGACAGGACATAGCATGCGTCCTTCCTCGAGCATGTTGTGACATCGCACTCTGTCGGCCCCCGCTTCAACGAGGAATGGAAGGGGGCCCTATCCCTGCCAACGCCAGGACATGCCACCAGGCGTTGCTACATACCTGCTACGTGCCTTGAAAGGGGGGAGTCGCGGGCGGCACACATGGCAGGGTGGAAATGGGGGGTTTTCGGTGGGCCATGCCAGTGTATCGCGGCAAACCTCGAAGCGGTACTCGTCTATCCCTTCACTTCAATTCACTTAGAGTTGTTTGCTGGTGGTATCTGAATCTGTGTTCTTAAGCGATGAGGGCAATCCAGCAGCGAACCTAGGGCCCAGGTCATCTCCCCTTGGAGTGTTGTTCCTGCCGTCGACCGCCGGCCCGCCGGTGCCAGCAGCAGCACCCGCCGGTCGGCCCGTCCGATGGACTTGCCCCGACATTGGAGGGAGCAGACCCGCCTGCGACCGCCGGTGGCTGACTGGAACTGAGACAGGTCCCCCCACGTGACGACCTATTAGTTACCCCCAAATAACGGGAGGGGGTTATCCCGGTACCATATTTTCGTCCATATACGGACCTTATCCCAACAGCACTGCTTTCACCTCTCCAAGAGCCGCCCGTGTGCATGTAGCTAACCACTGTCAAATCTGCGTCATCACCACCTACGTCCGCTAGCAGCACAGATTGGCGCGTTCCGTATTAGATCAATGACGTAGAAGCCAGCAGCCTTAATCTGCAAGGTTCCTACGACAGCAAGTTCCACTACTTCCAGCTGATCGGGACCAACTCGGTGAAACCCTGGGGGCTAAGAGACACGCGGGAAGGGGACCCCGCGCAGATAATAAGTCTCGTCTGCTTGCACAATGCCTCACTACTGCCGTCGCCGCGGAAGCGGCGGAGGCGTCGGTGCCGCTGGGGGGGGTAGTGTGGCAACAGTGGCTGTGCTGGTCGTGGTGACGCTGGCGACGTGGGGACCCCGTGGTAAGCGCAAAGTCTCTGGCGCCACACGCGGTTTTCTGCCAGATGCTCCCGTGCACTTGTGATGTGACAACCTTGCAACTCGATAGAGGGTGCATTTGCTATGACTGCATACATAGTTGGCTCAGCCGTCGGTTGGAACGAAGAGAGCTTCGACCTGGAGTAAACGTTTGCGCCAATGAAGAAACTTGCTCGCTCATCGTTCATAACAGGTCGTATGAGGCCATTCTTTCACCGCTTTATTCGTCAAACGCTTTGTAGGGCTCACGCTCGCCAGCTACCATCAAAACACAAACGGGGTCCAGGGCCCTGCCAAGCAGAAAAGATAGCAGTGCGCCATGCATGCATGCTGCAGCTGCTGCTGCTGCCTCAACTCTCCCGGATGCTGCAGCTGCTGCTGCTGCCTCAACCCTTCCAGATGCTGCAGCTGCTGCTGCTGCTGCTCCGGTGGCCCCCCGTGACCCAGGCGCTGCGGGTGAGGCCCAAATGACGTTAACCATCTCTACGTCTCCCGGCGGCCTGTGTGACATCTGCGACAAGCTGCCAACGATGCCGGTTTGCGACGCTGAAGGTGTCCAGTACGATAACATGTGTTATGCGTTGGTACGACGCCCCTGTGGAGCCGACATACAGTGCATAGCTTGGGGAATGTTCAGTACGCTCCTTGCGGCCGCCGGCCATTCATGACCTTGCCGACCTGCCGGGAGGGCACACGGCAGAGTGGGCACGGCTTGTCCAACCAGTGGACCGATATCTCGCCGTCTGCCGTGCCTGCCTGATGGCCCGTCGCGTGTCACACCAGATCGCCTCCACCTTTCCCGCCGCACGTGCTTCCTTCCCTTTTTAGCATACAGCTTATAGGGCGCGGCCCCGCGTGCGCATCATCACATGAGCGGCCTTCGTACAACACTGGGCACTACCACCGCTGCAGAGCATAGTAGCCAACAAGACACCGCAGCGTGCTAAACTCAACACAATCCCCTCACTATGTTTTGTGATAATGCCTCCTGGACGGTCCCCATTTTTTGTCCATGCATGGCATGCACCAAGCGACAAAGATGCATCAAAGCACCCTGCACGTGAAGACGCGAGGAGGAGGGAGGGGTATTACGTAGTGATAGACCATGATGCCGTCCCTGGGATCGTGATCTCCAAACTGAACGTCCCTTTGGGAGTGCCCTCGTCGCCGGACCTGTCCCTTTCCGCCCCGCCCCGTCCCATTTTAACTTTTGCAGTGCAAGGACTTCAAAATCATTTGGCCGTGTCCCAAACCGATACCGGTACACGAGCCAAGCCAGGCGCCTCAGGAGCCGGGCTCTCCGCCGGGGAGACCCCTGGTGCGACGTCCGCCGTTGCCATCGCCCGAGACCAAACCGCCACCGCCACCGCAGTCTCCACGAAAGGTCCAGTCACCACTACTACCACCGCCATCTCATCCTGAGGTGAAGTTGCAACCACTGCCGCAACCACCGCCAAAGGTCGAGCCATCGCCCAAGGCCAAGCCGCCTCTGCATCGCACCCATTCATCGGATTCCCTGCCGCCATCCCCCAAGGTCAAGACGTCGGCGCCATCCCGCAAGACCAGGCGGGCTTCACAGCCCCGCCACCTCCAGCCACAGGTCCCGAAGGCCAATCCACTGCCGCCGCCATCCCCCAACATCAAACCGCCTTCCTATCCCCCCCCACCAAATGCACCTCAGAAGCCCAAACCTTCCGAACACATCTTCGTGCAGGTGCTGGTGAAAACCTCTGTCACTGGTAAGAGCTCGCAGTGGGGGGACCCCGCGATGGTGCGGGCATCATTTGTCCCTCGCAGCTTCATACCGGTCAAGTCGCCACGCTGTCCTAGCCCCATACTTACCAGCAAATGCCGCTGGATGTTTTACTGACGCGTTTCACGTTCCAGCTTTTCAGATCAGCCTTCTATATTGTATGCATGTGATCGCTTGTGTTATATAATATAATATACATAATATAATATAACATAATATAATATAATATAATATAATATAATATAATATAATATAATATAATATAATATAATATAATATAATATAATATAATATAATATAATATAATATAATATAATATAATATAATATAATATAATATAATATAATATAATATAATATAATATAATATAATATAATATAATATAATATAATATAATATAATATAATATAATATAATATAATATAATATAATATAATATTACACTTGTGGTGTAAGCATGGTTTCACCATAAGCCCTTTAGGGGAAGAAGGGGAACACCCCTTCGTCATCCCCGAAGGGGAACCCCTTTGGTTAATACCAGACATACATACAAGGAAACAGGGGTCGCTCAGCAGGGGGCCGCTTGGCTAGAAGCAGCGGACGTTCATGCCGCGGGGGTACTAGCTGTCGCATGCATGAATGTACATACATGGTACCTGGTGCTGTTCGGAGAAAGGGGGGCAGCGATTGCCGTCGCTCCGGTTGAAGGTGGTCCTGCGTCCGGTGTTGTCTGCCATTGCCACACCAACAAAAGGAACTACTTTAAAGTACGCATGATAACTAGTACGGCATAGGTACAGCATATAGATGGGTCGCCACCTCGATCAAGAAGCCCTCGAGTCCCCCCGTGCACCTGTCCGCTCGGAACATTACGCTTTAACGAGGTTCAAAGGCATATAATCGTGTAGCCGCATTCCCCACACCTTGAAGCGCCTCTTAGCCGCCACCGCCACCGCCAGCGTTGGCATCTACATCTACATCTACATCTACATCTGCCGCTCCGCCCGACTTGTGAATGTGCCTCGCTGTATTACTTTTCCTGGCCGAGCACGTACGACCACTTGCAATTACTACCGCAGGCACCCCCGGGGTGGTGGTCAGGGGCAAGTACTTCGTCATCAGCCCGTACCCAGTGAAATCGTACTTCCAGTCGGCGGCCTTCTGCACCATGCAAGGAGCGAGGCTAGCCCGCTGGGACCCCCAGGGGTCCACCTTTGGTGAGGATGAGGAGGAAAGGAGGGCAGCAGGTGGTGGCGTCCGCTCGGTTCCGGCATCAGCGCCATGGGACCAACCCAAGCAGCAAAGCCCGTACATAAGCCCTTTGAAGACTCGAATACCGGATCCGACCTGCCGCTGCGGACCGCCTTGCTGCTGCTAGAGGCACCCATCCACCCTCCGAACACTTACCCTTACACCTTAACCACTTGTCCCTTTCCAATCCTAACCTACTCAGCTACCCGCTGGCCCCCACTTCCCGGCGCAGTGGCCATGGAGCAGCTGTGCCTGCAGCGGGACATCGACTGCTGGTACGACGGGCCTACGATCGGGAGTACTTATTGCCCCTTGTACCAGAGCATGACGGCAACGCTTGTGATGTCTCCCTGCGATGAGGCGGCGTATGCTCTGTGCACTCTGCCGGTGGCCACGGCGGCTAGGATGCTGGGATAACGGCGGCCTGCTGCCTGTCATGCTGCGGTGTCGGTGTGAAGGAAAACCTTTCCGCTGGCAGGAGCTGCTGCCTGCAGCCAGGTCAGGTACACTGCTGCTCATGATTCGTGAGCCCAAGTTCCCCGGGTTCATACCTTTGCCAAGCTGCTGTCCATGCATGCCTGTCCATGCATGTACGGCGTTCGCTACGGATCCATTGGGTGGCAGGGACCCGTACGGGCGCCTGCATGGCTTGCCACTGCCTCTGCTCACATTGTGCACAGTCACTCGCTCGTGCACAAATGCTCACGTACCTGGGCCTGCGCTGTGACTCCACCGGGGTGAGCCTGCCAGAAGCCATCCAGATGGTTGGGGCCGACGTTTGTGGGCCAGTCCAGTAGTCAAATCAGAGCGGTGCTTCCAGATAAAGGATGTTTACTTCCGGGTGAATGACTCGTAAACCAGTCGCAAACTCTCTTTTCCTTTATATCCTGGTCTTCGTGGTGTTGCAATGACAATTGTATCGTAGTAATCTACCAGTTCATGGCTTTCCGTTAGTTCAGGCAACATGGTGTAGGATAATGGTAGTTTAGGGCTTTGCTCGGAAGCCTGTCCCACCTGGTCTCACGCGCTTGCCTACACTCCCTCAGGCCCAGGCTTCCTCGAGCAGGGCTCCTTGCGAGTACTTAGGAAAGATCGTTTATGCTCGAGGCCCATCCTCGCCGTGATCGGTCCTTGTGATTACTTGATGTACTTTCTGTCACGTGTTGGGTGGCGGGTGGTGGGCTTTCTGACTTTTTACGGCGTTCGCCCGAGTGCACGCAAGACATATTCATTATATAGCTGGTGCAGCATCATGGTGGTGGTATGCAGCGTGGGATGCACGTGACCGCGCCTGCTGGCGGACCGGCGCGGCGGTTCCTGGGGTCCAAGCTTGGTTAACGTGTCCCGACACGGCCCCATCAACGTTCGGTGTACTCCCGTGTACTTTCCGTAAGTGGGGAGCATTTCGCAACTCTAGATCGCGCCAAATGCGCCCAGCGCTTGCAAGATCTATTGTCTACGGCGGCCCAGCTGTTTGGAGCTGCAACTGTGTTGTGCGTGATAAAGCCCTAACCTGAAACCTGCTGAAACGCTATCAAAGCAGTGAAAAACTCCCTCTCTCACCGTTCCGCCATTCGGACAAGCCAGGAAGCAGAAGGGACACTCGCTGGAACATTTAAAAAGTTCGGTTACGAAGGAAATGTCATAAACCCCAAGCCATCGACGCTGCACAGACATTGCTTGCATTTCTCGTCCTTATTAAGGTTAAGGGTTAAACTGCATAGACCAAGGCTATAGTCACGAAACATTCTCCACCGATCACAGCCGCTGAGGGCAGCCAGACCAGGCCAGACATCCACCGCCAGGAGAGGGGAGGTAATGAGGCAGAATATGGACGCCTGCCGGGATGGCCGCACCAGCGCAAGAGATATGACAGATGCGCAGGCGGAATATGCAATGCACGCGTGGGCAGACTGGGATGCGATACATGCCGATCCTTGCCGTCATGCAAAGCACATCTGCGGCAGCTAAGATCTCCCTTAAGCAGCTCAAACGCTGACAAACACTTCTCCTCATGTAATTCTCTTCGTGAGTATCAATTGCTTTTATTTTTTTCTCTATGCCGGATACTTTCATGCATGTTCTATTCCGTCTGGTTCGGAGACGAGAAATTCCGAAACGACGTCCCTATACATTTTCCTGCTCAAGAACACCAATGTCACCCAGGAGCACGAATATCACCAACAATAAGTTCTCATGCTCCAAGCGTTAATAGATTTAATCTTATTCTGCGCTCTCCTCTGCAAGGCCGGCTTCAATCGCGCTTCGACGGGCTCCAGCTCTTGGCCCTCGGCCAGCAGATGGCGCCCCTAGGAAAGCCGGAATCGGTCTTGGATTACCTGTGATAGATAAATGAGGTAATGTTGTGAATTGGACGCTATTAAGAAAGGTAAATATGGGAATTGTAACGGCCATAGCGATTTAGCGGGTCCCCTTACGATATCGATACCTCAGCAGCACAAGGCGCATCCGCACTATTTTTTTAAATATTGGAAGCTAAAATCCTTAAGACGCCTCCAGCAACCGCCTTGCAAACATAAACTCCATAAGAAGCATATGCTCTTAAACTTTTGAATTCGGATTGTACTGGAATTTCGGTCAGCTCCCAGACGGCGGAAAACGGATGCGGATGAAGCCGACCCTATCAGCAAGTGAAACAAACAGCGTTAACATCACTCTTCATGATTATCGTTAATATCGTATAATCCGTACAAGCCTACAACAATTGGTGCTCACATATTCACCTGTAAATAAGCAAAATGCGCGCACGCACACGGCTCCCTCCTCGAACAGCTCCGCCACTTCAGCAGCCGTCATGTCGCGCGTGATGCTCGACGTGGCATGGCCAAAGTACACAGCCGTACACTCATGCCGTACTTCCCTAGGTACAATGGTCGGCCCAAACGCAGCAGCCATCTCTACCGCATCATTTTGCGGTAACGACGGCGTTGGTAGCGACGACGGCGATGGCGGTTCCAAAGCTGCTAGCCCTGCTTCAACCCCAATCCCCAGCAGTTGTCCCAGTCGAAGCCGCAGCGGCTGTTGGGCTGTGTGCTCGACTAGAAATACCTCGTTAGTTTGGAAGTAAGTGCCTGAAAGATGGCAGGGGTTCAAAAGGGCGGTATCTTAACAACCAGGGGGGGATGGGGTCTCCGAATCGGGCAATGGGAAGACACTGAGGGCACCTCCTGTTTGCCGTACACCAGGCTGGGTTGAGTCTCACCATTCAGGGGAAACCCTCCCCGCAGCGCCACGCGGCAAGGCATCAGTACTGCAGCGCGCAGCTCCATGTTCCACAATGCTGTGGCCTCGGCCGCGGGGGCCCCTGCCTCCGTGCGCTCCATTTGCGAAGGATCACCCTCGTCCATGCCGTTTCTTGCCGACAACCGACCCATGGGTCGATTCTCCGCCGCCACCATTAACTGTCTCAAGCGCCGCAGCGCCGGCAGCGCCGCCACCTCCGGTGACGCCACCCGCCAGAGGGGCTCCTGGGGTCCTGCCGCCGCCGTCGCCGTCGATCTGGCTGTCACCTTCGCCGCGGCGACAGTGACGGCGGCGGTGCGGGCCCCTGGCTTGGAGGCCTGGTGCTGAGCATGTTATAAAGGTATGGGATTAGAAATCTGGCCTTACAGTTAGCTCCAACAGATTAGGGAGCTATCGACTCAAACTGAAAAACTATTTATTATTCCATGGCGAACGGGCTTGCGTGGCCTGTGCCGTACGGCCCTGCCCTGCCTATCTTATCCTTTATCTGAAACCTGGTCGACCGCCCCCGACGGATATCCGTTTTGTGGAGGCACGTGTTGCTGCTGGCCAGTACAGCCGGTACGACAACATATAACATCTTGTCTATTGCATCATCGCCACTCTTTCCGAGTACTGTCCGGCAATTCTTTACCTCACCCCCCATCTAATTCCATGTTCCCATCCCCAAGTACACAGTCAAAACACACCTGCTGGGTTTGAAGCCGCGAATACGGCACCTTCTCCGCTTCGAGTCCCCTTCTGCTTGGCCACCGCCGGCCACCCTCGGGAAAGGCCGTAGCAGTAGCGGCACGAGCACCAGCAGTAGCAGCAACAGCAGCGTCGGCAGGGGCAATGCCAGTGCCAGCAAAGCCCAAAGGAGCAGCGGCGGCAATTCCCGTATTAGCAGCCCCCGCAGAGAAGACTGGGGCCGTGCTGAGCGCTAGGGCAGCAGTCGCTGTTGCAGCTGATACCGTGTGGGACGAGGTTCCAACGGCCAACGGCTCTAGTAGGACGAGCATGTACGGCATATCGTCACTCTCCGTGTCCGTGGACGGTTGTTGTTGTTGTTGCTGCTGCTGTTGAACAGCAGCATGCGAAGCTGGCGGCGGCGACGGAGGCGGTGGTGGCGGTTGTGGTAGTAATGACTGCGGGGCTGCAGGCGGGACTCGCTCACATGCCGGCGGCCAGGGCAGCTCCGGTGCGATGGCCCGGATCACGTCGTCCGAGATCTGCGGAACAGGGAGAGGAGACCAGTGGGGCCAGGCGGGGACCGTGAACAAGACGGGTGCGGGAGGGGCAGCTGTCAGTCAATCCCTGGCTTCTCACCCCTTCTCGTTCTCGCAGAAACCCCCGCGGGGCATTTCCCCCCCGGAAGGGCGCAAACCTGACAAAAATGCTACATCGTTCAACCGGCCAGGTGGATCGGCCAGGCGTGGACGGGTGTGCCGTACAACTCCAAACCTTATCAGCCCAGCCAGTTCCTATTGCCCCTCAGGGCGCCAATCCGAGCGTACGGATGATCCGAGTGTACGGATCTAAACCATAAACGCCAGCATTATGCAAGAATGATCATGTACGTGACGTACCGTACCTTGAGCGCCAGAACACGACGCCGCGTGCGCTTCTCCGCCTGTGAACCCAACAGCCGTACCGGCCGTAACGGCTGACCTAGGGGGCCCACGGCATTAGCAGCAGCGGCGGCAGCAGCAGCAGCACCTGCAACGACGAGGTGGGCTGTAGAGGCGACGGTGCTCATGCTAGCCACCGTATGGCGCACGATAGCCGTACGACTGCCGTTGATGCCGTTGGTTCCCCTGCCCCAAGTGCCATCACCGGGGGCCGCAGCCCCTCCACCACTTGCGTCATGGTCCTGAACGGGCGGAGCCGCCCCCATGTGCCCCACAGCGCCTCTCCGCGGTGTCTTGGCAGCTGCTGGAATGCGGATGGTGCCGTCTGGCTCGATGATGTACATGGGCGGGTCTAGCGTACCGGCAGCGGCACCGCCACTGCCGTCAGCGCCGCCGCCGCAGCTGCCTTTCGAAAGTGGTCCCTCCGTGTGCGCAGCGCCTGAGGGCAGCCGTTCAGAACCCGTCCAACACGGGCCATGAGCCACATCGGACCGAATCCGACCGCACCCGAGCAGCCAGGTCACATAGAGTCAGATTGGTCATACCAGTCGAGCAGAGGTCGATCCATCACATCATTTCAATGACTCCTTTGCTGGCTGGCTGGCTGGCTGGCTGGCTGGGTGGTCGACTGGTGGTCTAGGGGGTTCCCTTCCATCATCGTGCTGCAGCCGCCTCACACACACGCACACACACACACACGCGCACACACACACACACACACGCACACACTGGGGGGGTCATGGCTCATCAAACCCCACATCACCCGATTAGGAGCACGTAGCTAGTAGCACAACAGTGTGTACAGTGGAGGTTGAAGGAAGGTTTGCAGCCGTCCGTCCAAGAACAAACCTGTAGCTCCTGTACAGCCATCTGATGACCCGTGGGTCGTCGGCTCCGTGGCGCTGGCCCACAGAGCAGGTGCAGGGGCCCTGATAGCGGCAGCGGCGTCCACAGCCCGCCGTACAGTGGTGAGTGCGCGCGTAAGGGCGGCGAAAGCATCGGCGGCACGCGGGTGGCGGCACTTGTCCGGGTGTACGGCGACACTGAGCTCCAAGTATCGTTGCCGTACAGTGGCAGCACCTGCGCAGACCACAAGCAACGTTGCGGCGTGCGGGTTCCAACACGCCTTGGGCCCAGCTGGACCTAAAGGAAGCGTACAGAATCCCGAGCGCACCGTGACAGCTGGCCTGGCAAGCGTTTTGGGGCAACTGTGTCGTGCATTCCTCCTAGGCTTAACTTGCACCTGCTACGCCCACTGCTTTCAAGCATTGCATCTGTCATCTTTGACGAAGTGCGGGAACTGCCCACGGCGATTGATGCGCTACCAGCTTTTCGCCTCAAATGATGGGGAACGTAAGCACCGTCTTCATTAAAGGTACTCTGAACCAAACCCTCCCCCCCTCGAGGGGTTTGGACGCCTAGGACGGCACAAGGTACTTGGACTGCACGGCAGAGTCCAGTCAGACTCTCATGGGCTCCCTGCCCGGCGGCCGTATCGCGTACTTCGCGAGCCATGGCCCACCGCCGTGTGGGAGGCCTGGCTGGTCGGTGGCCACTAGAAGATATCGGGCTGCCTGCCTGCGGTTGGCTAACCTCCCCCCCCCGCTGTAGCCCCTCAC